TACAGGAACGATTTGTACGTTTGCTCATCGACAAGAATATGTGGTATAACGCGGCCCAGTGGCTCAACCACCCTTGGATTTTGGCGTACACGGAAATGGCCCGAGCGGGACCATCGGTTGATTGGACCAAAATGTTCTCGATCCCACAACCCACCACCCCTACCTTCTTTATGGAAGGTTATGCCGGTCCCTCTCCCCCTTTACCTCCATCTTCGACCGATTCATTGCTCCCAGTCACAGTCCCAACTCCCCCATTGCCGGTACCGACAGCTTCATCATCGCTCCCGGCCCCAACAAAACCAACGCGTCGGGCAAAATCAACCGATCCTGTGCCAGCGGCTGAAACGAAGTCCAAGAGTAAGACGAAGTCTGGGCGAAGGAAACCCGAGGCCGGGTCCAGCACCCAGCCTAACGACACCGCTGCCCCAGTCCAAAGCAAAAAAAGAAAAGGGGACTCGATCGAAGCCAGGCCAAAGAAGACCAGAGTCGTGAGCGCGGAGTTCATCAACAGCAGTGATGAGGAAACATTGAAGCCGAAGTCGGAGTCACTTCGACCGGTTGGTGGGGAAGCAAAGGCGGTTAAACCCAAGTCCCAGCCCCATTTCTCCCGCATGACACCCAGTGCCGGCTTCAGTCTCATCCGAAGGCCCAAGTTAGACCCCGACGCCGGTCCTCCCAAGACCGCCATGGCCGCTTTAAGGCAAGCCAAAACTGCCGAACGTCTTGCAAATCAGAATGCCGCCATTGCGAAAGGCAATTATCAGCTTGCGGATATCCCCTGTGAGGCCTGCAGCAAACGCCAAGATCGAGACATTGTTCCATGCGCTATCCGTTCCCCCCCACAACAAGGATCCTGCTTCACCTGCAGTACGGGTAAGACGACCTGCACATATGCAGTAACCAAGAAAAAGGACACCGACAGTGAGGTCGAAGACGAGATCCAAAAGGGGTTGCAGGATCTTGAAACGGCCGCAGTCTCCGGGGGAGATGCCCAAGTGAAGATCGTGAGGAAGAAAGCGAGGTCAAAGAAGCCGCAGGTGAAGAAGGTGAAGCCGGATGTCAAAGAGAAGGGCAAGCAGGATGTCGAAATGGCCGGAGTCGGGCATGATGTGGAACATGCAATTGACGTGGACATGGAGGTTGGTCTGACAATGGGAAAGGGGAAGTCCGAGGGTGGTATCGACATAGAGATGGCCGAAGTCAAACATGAGGAAACCGAGGTCGGTGCCAGTCCAAAAGCCGACAAAGACGTGGGCCGGGTGACTCCCACCATAATCATTGAGCCACCCACACCACACACATCGGCGATTTTCAAGAGCACTGAGACCGAGGTCGGTACCAACACTGACAAAGGAAAGGGCCGGGAGATTGGGCCGCCAGCCAGTGAGATGGAGTGGATCGTGCCCGAGTTAGCAATGCGGCCAGGTAAAAAATTCATGAAACTCGTTATTCTTTGCTGACTTCGTTTATAGAATTGGGCTTGGCTGTCAATTATATGCAACAAAGCTTTACACCCCCACCTGTTGAGCGCGCGTCCCGGCCAGAAGGTTCGCGTTCGGTATCCCGTTCTCGGCAGGTCAGCCCACCAGATCCCAAGGAGGTTCATCGTACGTCTCAAGTTGTTTTCTCATTTCCCATGATTCTCAACTGAAAACTTAGTTGACACGGCGCTCTATCAGAA